TTTGTTGGAATAAAGTATATTTTGTTGTCAAGTGTGAATTATATATGCCTCTTTGTCCTATATCTTGGTGTCTGCGGGTAACAGAATGTTAATGTTGTTAGTCATTAGATACTCTGTTATCATTTCTGCTAGCTGCCAGTGGGCGTATGTTAACTTTCCTGGCAACCTATCTTCATCTGATTTTATTGAAATTTGTTGTGATTTTTCATATTGATAACTTCTTAAAAAAATATTTCAGGAGAGAGATGAATATATGTTTTTATTGAATTATGCAACATTAGATGATACTTTACCACAAATGTGCCAATTGCACCGAGCTTCAACGTTGCAAAAATCTGATCAGTCTGCTATGGTAGGTAAACCAAGAATTTTTTAAAACATAGCTAATGCTCACAGTTTTTTTGTCCGAATGTAAGGGAAGGTAGGCAGGACATATTTCTTCTGACAGGTGTATGAGGATTAGGAAGAATTGGCTATGAAGCTTGCATAATTTTGCACTGATGCATTAATTACAGAGAGCCTTATGTAGTCCGAAACATCTACTCTATGCCAGCCTCTGTGCCAGCAATTTACTGCCATTACATTTGTGGGCGTATAACTATGGCCATTGATATCTTATTATATTTTTATAAAAAAACTCAAACCTTCAGGTCTTTTTAGACATATTTATTTACATTAAATCCACCAAGCGCTGATTTTTTTTTTTTTTGTTTAAACAATATTTATTGATAATTTACAAAATCATACATATGCTATAGATTAATGTTGGTTTCAGAAACAAGCCGAAGCTTATATAAATCTGTTACCAATACGAATATTTACAGATGATAAAAGTATAATTTACATAATATAGGAGTTGACAGCAGCGAAATGTACATTGGAAACAAAACAGGAAGTGACAAACATATTTACAAAAGGAAAGGGAATAGGGCCGAACAAATTCATTGGTGAATAAAATGTTATTGATAATGACAAATGAAAATAGTTGAGGGGGGATGAGGGTGTTTATCGTTAATCAAAATAAAATAATCTTCGTTTTAAAACGGAGGCCATACTTCGACAGCGTTAGCTAGGTGTCAAAACGTTTTGTAGATGATATAAAGTTATGAACAATTTGAAAGATATACAGATTTGTTTCTAAAGATAATTTTGGATTGCCGTTAAGAAGTGTTAATATGCAACGTAAATTAGTTGACTTTTATAATGACGTAGTTTGGTATGTATTATTTGTGATGGACGGTCGCCAGAGTAGAAATATAATGGTACAGAGGATTTTGAGGTGAATTTTACAAGCAGGGATTTAAGCTGAGAGAGGGAAGAAGAATTACGTATTGAGTCGGGCAGATTGTTCCAGATTTGTACAGTAGATGGGAGAAAAGATGATTTGTAGGCTACAGTGTTCCATGGAATAGTGCGAAAATTGTGCTGCTTCTGATGGGGTAAGGGTTTACAATCGAAATATGAGGTGGTACCAGAATTCTCAGATATT